ATAATAAATACTATCTGATGCGTGTATAGTTATAGTCGTAAAACGTTTTTCTCTTTCTCATCATAATAGTGTAATTCGAACATGTGTGTATATCATATATATATATATGTGGTTATGTATATATACAGATACATAGTCCACAAAATAGTTTCTTGTATGTGTAATTAGTTACCTTGTGGAATATGTCCTTATTTATCTTCTTCTTTTCGTTGCATTGCGTTAACTTATATATGCAACAACGACAATATGTACGTGTTTTTGTGTGTGTATATATATATATTATATAATATATATATGATTTATCTTAATAAGGGTATATAAATATATATATAGTTATATATTGTGTAAGTTTCACTTTTTTCTTCTTTATCTTCTTATCTTAATGCTTCGTTCCTGCGTCGCGTGTCTAAATAATGTAGGCATTTGTTGTATACGTGTTTCTCTATGTGCAATGGTGTATAGAGTGCAAGGGGAAGGCACTTCCGCTGTTTTGCCGATATCACACCGAAAACACGGGATTGCGTCTTCCACCTCTCCATCGTCCGCGTACAAGACATTCTACATTAATACATATCCTTTTAAAGAATACACTCTCTCGTCTAGTAAAATATAATAAACATTTTTTTTCCCTCTTATGGAAGTACGTAGTAGCTTTGCGATAAAACAATCACAGTTCTAAGGAAACAGTTTGCTACATTTGATGCAACAACGGCGACGACCGATCGATCGCTTGGACCGATCGCGTCGAGCCCAGAACGCGATTACGGGTTTTCGGTGTGAACTTAAAAAAACCAGCCACCCTCTCGATAATGTACGTATATAATTTGTAGACATCAAGTTCAGGAACCCTAAAAGTGTCGGTCCGTAATCAGTATATTTCAGACTCGATCCTATTCGACTCTCTCACTATCCTTGTATACCTTATAGAGTTACCGTTACGGAATACGAAACTTTATCGCGCGTTATCGCTGAATTCTCGGCTTGTCCAAGGCCGTTAGGACTTTACTTATGGATTAACGTATTATATATCGTCATCTTCCCGAGGCCCTTTAGCGCCGACGTCACATGTATGATATCGTAGTATCATAAGTACCGATCGTGAATTCCAGGTTAACGCCATACAAGGCACTGAAAGGGCTAATCTTACTATATTCCAGTGCCACGCGCATGCGAGAACAGTGTGTGCGTGTACGTGTGTATAAGTGTAACACATTACATATTATCACATAGGACCGCCGCACGCGCGTTTATCGTAAGGATAGAAACAATTTCTTCCCTCTGGGACAGGTGTCTCGATAAATCCCCTTAGTCGCTATAATATAAAACGGCGCTCGAAGAGCGTTCTCGTGGCGTTCGTTATGGAAGACACCATGATACCCTTGAGAATTCTCAATTCTGATTCTAAAGCGAGAACCATTACCCTTACTTGCAAATCGTAGTAAAAATCTATTATCCTCAAGGAAAATAAAATTCGACATATTATAAATGTTAATTATAGAATACTTCGTCGATTATACATATGTCGAGTACAACTTACGAGAGTGTTTAAAAAATATGTAGATTCGCCATTTCAAAAGAAGGACAGCTACAGTTTTATACCATGGAAGAGATATTTGTAAAGTAATTATTATTCGACTTGTCAAAATATGCTATGTTCATTATTTATACAATATATATATAAAGTAAAAAAATTGTAAGATAGACAATAACATTAAATCAGTAGGCGAACGAGAGATATCTCTCTCTGAAATCTATAAAAGTGTGTTACTTTTTAAATTGTGTGCAGCCCGTATAGATGTACGGCTTAAATTGTTTTACAATTCTTTATTATTAATTAAAAATCTATTCTAGAACCATTACAAGACAATTTCATTCTACAATCTTGTGCGTTTTCTGCATAGATTCATAATCCCTTGGAAGAAGTTGTTTCTAATGCCGCGGAAGAATCAAAGGAATTGTGAGGTAATGCGTACCTTATTCTCCATTCATATTCTCTTGAGCTTTTTTAAGCCAAAAGGAGAGATACGACATTATAATCCGAATAAAATTTCTTAGCAATTACAATTTGCTACGTCACGACCAGGATCAGGATTAAAACTAAACTTTTACGAGAGAGATTTAAGATACGTATATCGCAAACTTTTCGCGCGTTAAAAGTATTTCACTTGCATACGCGCGTGCCGGGATTCTAGAAAATACCTCACCTTGCTCTGTTCTTCCGCGTTTTCATGTACACAAATTTCTACCGTCGCACAATTCGTTCGCTCGGTTTTCTTCGTGAGAATTACGATACGACCGGCCATTTCGTTTCTTCTCCACTGAATGTGCCAGTGAGTGTGCTCTTCATGTATATGTATGTGTATGTACATAATTATATTCAAATATATATATATATATATATAACATAGTATATAAGATATCATATATGTACACAACATTTATATATGTATATGTATATATATATATATATATATATATATATAATATAGTATATAAGATATCATATATGTACACAACATTTATATATGTATATGTATATATATATATATATATATGCATATATAACTTTAACACATACAACAAATATCTTTCAATTTCGTCCCGTATTAAAAAAAAAATTATTTACAAACGCATATATACACATATGCATATGTATATATGTTTATTCTAATTATACATTGGACTCAAACAAATTTTCAAATCACTGGCAGATACGTGAATGCGGACATACGGAAAAGAGGAAAGTAGATGTTAGCGTGAATACATTTCGTCGTATTTTTTTTTTTTTATACAAATCGCTCTCCAGCTAAACTGCATAACTGCTTTCCTCTCTTACCGTTATACTCGCGAATTAATAAAAATATACGCAGTGTCTGTCAAGTAAGTGTGAGTGTCTTAAGTGTAATGTTTGTGCGGTCGTGTACCACGATGCGCATGTGAACTCGTCTTTTTTCCACCCTCGAGAATGGCAATCAACGAGACGTATCTCTTCTCGTCTCACCGCCTTCAAGGTTGGACCATTTTTTTTACACTCCCTCTCTCCTCTGTCTCCTTCCAATTTCACATAAATACATCCGCATATCCCACGGACTTGCTGTTTCTCCTTCTTTTTCACAATTATTTCCTGTACTTCTCTCATTCAATTAAATGCATAAGCTCATAGATCGCAATTGACGAAATTCACTGTGTGCAACAGACTCCCCCGAATTGAATCCATCAGGACAGAAGAGTACGTTGTGTTCGAACACGCTTATGCTAAAGATATAGATACGCTAAGTATAAAACAAATAACTATTCTAAATTCTACGCACATTACACGACAACTAAGGGCCTACCGGAAGTGTCGCATCTTCCAGTCGAATTTATCGTCGATGTGCAAGGTGTTTTTAGGAAATATATGCGCTATATATATAGACATAATACAATATATATTCTTATAACTAAACTAAAAGAAAAGACAGGTTAAGTTAATAAAAATTTTAAAACAATTTTCTTTAAATATTAACAAATATCACGCATGAGCCTCGTATAATTTAAAATAGATCATGTGATAACGAAAAAGAAAAACAGTTTTCTGAATGCACATGATACTAAAATCTTAAAACCAATATTATATTTGCGCGCGCAAATTCTTTTCATTTAACATTATTTAATTTTCTTCCGAGATGAACAAACAAAATAAAATTTTGAACATATTACTACAATATATAAATAAGCGAATCGTGCTCCAGTAAAAGAATCCAACTTTGGATAATAATTATTTCAATAACTCTAAACGCGAATGCTAATTAACACTACGGACTTAACGGCAAGTATCGCATATAACGTGACATAGGCCGAGCGTCGTTTTTTTTTCCTTGTTCCGGACGTTAGACGTTAAAATTTGGACGAATAGCTATAACACAAAAATTTGAGTAATTTTGAAATAAAAATATTGCGATGCCGTATTTTACGGCGGAAATTGACTTATTTACAATTTAGCCTATTAAAAGAACAAAACGGAGCCACGCGTAACGACACATAACATTTTCAATAGTTCTCTGTAGTAAAACAACGCTAATTATCGGCATAATTAAAAACTATCTCTATAAAGTATATCGCAAATCGCTATTACTCTAGAAAAAAAGATCAAATAATAAAATGAATAATTAATGTAACTTGGTGACTTCGGCCACGCTCAATTTTTCGCAAGCTCTTTTACCTTCTCTCGAATGCAATCTTTATCGGCAAGTCAAAATTTTCAGTTAAAATATTCAGTCGAAATTAAATTCAAGTTTATATTTCGACAGGCATAAGATCAGAACGGTAGTCACGTCTCTCTCAGTCATTTAAGCAAGCAGGTAGTGTATGAGGGAAAAAAATCCCGTATTTCCTTCACCGTTCTCTTCTCTACAGTTGTACGCTTATAACACTCCAAATGGAATCGGGTCAATAAGGCACTGTTCACCGACAATGTCTGACTAGAAAATGAATCTATTTTCGGAACTTGTTTTTGTATATCAGCATCTCTCGTCTCGCAATCGCTTAATCGAATATTCCATCCCTCTCGCGAACGAAGACTGATTTCTCGCTTTTTCTTAGTATCAGCGATAAAAATTAACATCTTAGGACTGCACTTTTGGTTTCTACGTTTTTCGTTTCATCGATGTAGTCGAAGATTTAAATACGCGTAATTTTTTAATATCAAATAAAATTAAAGCTAATAAATTGCAATTCGATATATTTTGTATATAGTATAAAGAATGTATATATATTATACTCTCTCTTTCTTTCTCTTTTCTCTTTAATACTTTTATCAGCAAAATATAGAAAAATCAAATAACAACATATACATGACAAGAAATTCACTAATCTTTACTATGTAATTTATGCCGAAAAGAATAACATTCTAGGACTAATCACCACTGGGCATTATTGTAGTTATTGTAAACTAATGTATCAAATATTCATTTAGCTCAATTTTATTTTTTTCTTTTTACTTCCATGAACGCTACTATTTCTAAACGCGTTTACATTTCGGACTGAAACTACAAAACTACAAAAATACAATTGCGAAAATCTATTCAGAACGTAATAATTTTTACGGTTCATAATTCATCCCCGCAATTGAACGCTAATCGTAAAGATACTCTATAATTATCTAAAATACCACTACCGTGATCTGTAGCAGCAATCATCATTCGCAGTGACTATCGCGGAATCGTTCGTTCGTTCGTCGCGAGGGAGAGAATGGAAGGTGCCTGAAGGAAGGAACGGCACTTTTGTGAGATGAGACGAGTCTTCCCGAGCTGGTAGGTAAGGATGTTTTTATGACGTCTTCATCTTCTTGTACGGTTGCATGATCACCCCAGAGCTGACGGGGATCGCAACCTGCGGCTGCGCCGCTATTGTCGCCGGGTTGCCTATCTGCGGTATCTGCGGTACACCTGCGGCTGCAGCTGCGGCCGCGACGCCTGCCGCTACTCCGGGTACACTGGCTACTGCAGGTAGAACAGCGTATGGATTCTGGACATAGGGATTGGTTTGTACGGTCGCGGCGCCGGGTACAGTTGGTATCGACGCCTGGACATATGGATTCGGCAAGATCTGCTGTCTGATCAGAGAATATGGATTTATGGGGGTCGCTGTGGGTGGCGGTCTGGAATACGCTAAGATACCCGCGGACAGCGGTGAGGTCAAGGCGCCTGGGATACCGGCCAGACCCGAGATGACAGGTCTGGGAGTCGCCGCGGTGGCTTGCAGATTGGCTGCTGCCATCGCGGGATTCCCGGCGGCCGCCGCGGCGGGATTCATGAGATTTTGTTTGTTCAGAGCGACGCCGGTGTAATTAAGTGCGAGCTGACCAATGCCGTAAGATTGCGAGACTTGCGAGAGCTTAAGGGCTTTAGCATAATTTTTCTGGGCGACTTCTTTGGCGAGAGTCGCTGGATCGAGAGGGGCTGGTAACCCGGAGGCCATTCCGAGGCTATTGAGAACGTTTAGGCCCGCCATATTGGAAGCAGTGTTATAATTGCCCACAGAGGTGATGTTCGTTATCGATGACATATTTGCCATGGAGGCCATAGAAGCCATCGAGGCCATGTTCACCATGCCAGGCATTGAGGTCAGGCCGGCCATAGAAGTTAACGGACTCATCGCTGGTGACAGCGCCAACTGGTTAATTTGTTGCTGTTGCTGTTGGTGTTGTTGCGATACCTGTTGCTGTTGTTGTTGTTGTTGCTGTTGCTGCAAGGACGACGGGCTCGAATGATTCAATTCGGGGGAGTTACGCGAATTTTCATCATGATTCTGCGTAGTAACCGGTTGCTTGTTATTGCCGTTACTATTGTTACTGTTATTGTCAGCGGTCGGAGGTGGCGGCGGCGGATTGTTGGGATCCATCAGCACGCCATTGTTGGCGTCGGCGCAGTTATTGACTGTTGCGCCAGCGGCTCCCTGGGAGGAGGAGGATTGCACCACCATCGCGTGGTGGTTGCTTTGCACGTTCGGGGGTTGCACGACCGATTGGTTAGAGGTTTGAGTGGGTAGGGGTGGTGTTCCAGTGTACTCACATGACACAGGCACGAAGGGCTGCTGCAGCTGCATTAACTGTTGATAGGTCGTCGCACCGGTAGGCTGATAGACCGGCACGCCGGACTTGTCGGCCGCCGGTCGTTTATACGGAACCATCCCTGGGAAGGCCTGCAAAAAGAATTGCAAAGAGATTCGCGATTAGAATGAGTTTGTGACGCGAGCAGCGTGGCCACTCGAGCGGAAGCTTCCTCCATGAAAGCCTCAACTCCGTTTCGGCCGGGGATACGATATATTGTTCTCTTTTGCGTGTTCATGAGTTTTCTTGATCCAGCTGTGCAGGGAACGTCGAGTTTGACATTTTCCACGATGAGGTGGTCAAAAAACCAATCTCGTTCGTCCAATACAATCAAATTCAATCGTAATAAATTGACATTTTAAGATGAGTTCATATCGATATATTGGTACAATGATTCTTTTGTCTTCTTTGCAAAACAGTCGGATATACCGCAGCCAGAAGGAGCCATATCTACCTCTCATCGATATCATCACTGTTTTAGAAAGAAACGATCACTGCTATCTCGTTAAATCGATAATGCTCCATTTTAAGATGCTTGCAAATTTAATAATATAATAATTCAAAAAAAGAATTTTGTCAGTAGAAATTTTTATCTTGCTGTAAGAAATAAATATCTCGTAAAAAAAATGGGGAGATAGATATTAAACGCGAATATAAATGGAATGATGCGCACGAAGAAATGGATCGTATGAATTATGATTCAATGTTTAGGTTCTGCACTTACAAAGTTCTCGTAGTAGAACGACCCGACAGACTTCATGTCCATCTGCAACAAAGACAGGATCGGTTTCAACTAATTTCGAGGACGAGGCGCGTTACGTCTGTATAATTGGATTTTCGAGACGGGAAACGAGAGAGGGTCGTGTCTCAAAGAAATGGGGGAGGACAGACGGTGGCGCGATGGAGAAGGGTTGTTGAACTGTGGTAGTGTGTAAAAGTTGTGCCGATGACGCAGCTTGCGGCGACGTTCCCAAACGACGACGTTTCGTTGTTGGATAACTGCAAAATGTTTCGTTCTTTCTTTCTTTCTTTCTTTCTTTTGCACTTTTCCTCTGTTTCTACTATTGGGAGCGTGTCAGAAAAACCAGCCATTGTTAGTATCGAGGACCGTGCGCGGCTCGATTAAAGAGAGACCGTCGCCTTAAATTAATAAACGATCAAAATACCGATCGGAAAACTGCACTGTTGCCTTCCTATTAAGAATATTGCGAGAGCGAAGAAGCAGAAATCGCGCTGTAACAAAGTTGCCGATGCTAATGTCCGATCTGAAAGCTTTTCGTCCATTTTCGCGAGATAAATGTGAAGACAAATAAATCTTTTCTCTTTTACGAGAAAAACGAAGAGAGAAAGATATAAAGAGAAAGATAGAGAAAAAGAGAAAAAGAAAGAGCAAGATCGACAAGAGAGATATTAATATAAAAGGCGTAGTGTGTTGGGCTTGGCTCGGAGAACAAAAGGCTTCGCGATACCGACGTGATGCGAAAGTTGCACAACACGGATTCACGAAAGCTGGTAGGCTTGCGGTGATACTTGGTGAGCGAGCACTTTGGTAAGTCACCTGCGCGAAACAGACGCGTGCGCAACAAAGAGGGGAAAGCCAAATCAAAATCTCTATCGAGGTGTAAAACACGTTCGAGTTAGAAGCTGCGGTAGACGAAATGCAAAAGCTCAGAAGCTGACTTATAGTAAAGTGGCCGGGGTGAAATATATATTATTACAGCGGCACAGATACATACATATATGTATATGCGTGTTAACACGTATTCCCGCGATTTGCTCACCAACGAAGGACTCGGAGTCGTAACGACGCACGGATACAAGGTTCAAAAAACCGCGACTTTGTGTATGCAAACGACTCGCCTTTAACCGCCGTATACGTTTACGACTAACGCCAAAAATAAACGTAAGTAATCGCGAACGTTGCTAGTACAAGCGTGTACGCGAAAGCGAGTCGGCGCGTCACACTGCATTTCATTAGCTTAAGAATGTGCAACCAACTATCACGCAAAAGGCAACATGCCTTCCAACTCTTTATCATTATTCGTATTGAATGTTGCTTCCTATTAAGCCTGTCGAAAATATATATATCGTTGTAACCAAAGTTTTCATCGAATTTTTTGTTTCTCCGTTAAAAGTTAAAAATGCTGTAAGACAAAAGCGCTTTAAAATTAATACGCTTTACATGTAGGAAAATACGGCATTAATTTTTAAAATAAGTTCAGAGCCAGCTAAGCGCTGTAATCAAAATTTAACATAATTTTTAAAAGTTGAGCATTTTTATTCAATTATGATATTTAATTTAAGTTATAATAAAATTTACTTAATATTTGCTAAAAAAATATTTTATTATCATTTTGTACTGCAAAACCTTTCGGCTTCAAATTTATCAAAGAAAATTGGTAATTTCCATATCTTATGATACATCTTGTATGCGTACAGCGAAAATGCATTCGCATTCGGCTGTCTCGGTGTTATCACGTTTCAAAATTTTTGTTTTGAAATATTGATACATTTCTGCAACAAGAGTTTGCATTCTTATGAATTTATATGGATTCTATGCAGGCACTTCTTCTTTCTCTTCGCGTATTGAAAACTCGCGTACCGAAAATACCGAGAAGTTATGCGCGCTTTCTGAAGGAAGCCTCTATTTGTACAGCGAAAATCCATTTTCGTCCTGGCGCACGGAGTTAGAAAGTTGCACATGGATAAAATTACGTTTCAAACCCGAACAAATCTGTCGATCGCGCTTCAGATGTTGATTGACGGTATTAGCGACGGAGAGATAGAGAGAAAGAGCGAGATACGTACGTGATATATATATAAATATATATAAAGACAGAAGTAAAAGAAAGGGTAGTATTAAAAAAAGTAGCGAGTGTATGTAAGCGATCTACAGTGCTCTTTAGCAGACTCGACGTGACTCTAATGAAGACAAGGGAAGCCGTCACGCGGACGGCGAATTTCGAAACGCGTCACGGCAATGAGTGCCCGCTCGACGATCCTCCGCGACAAGAACTGCCAAAACTTCGGTCATCGTCCAGAGCGTCGAGGGGATGACATTACGTCCACCATCACCTCGATAGTCGCTTAAGCACAACATGCATCATCGGCGCAAGCTCAGAATTTACACAGATCTAACGCTCCGTAGACGCAGCACCGCGGTATGCAGGATTTGTAGCATACCGCGAAAGTGCGAGCCTTTAGGGCCTCACGACTCGCCCTCTTTACTCTCTTTTTTTTTCCGTTTCGTTTCGTGAGGGGGTCCTGACATACGGAGATTAGAGTCGACGGTTTCCTTACCGAGCTCGCATCAAAACACGCGCGCACTTCCGCATCCATATATTCGCGATATTTCTTTACTTTCACAAAAGTGCTTTTCCATTTTATTAATCCTTTAACGTTGAGATTTCCTGTTCTTTAAGCCCGATATATATAAAGCACAAAACACGGGTCGCAAGACTAGAAGGAACTAACCTAACGTATTTTAATTATAAAAGGTTGCAGGATGCAGGAAGGTGAACTTCAACTTTCGCGTCCTATACGTATCGCGGTCTGTGACCTAATATTTCACTTGCGACTTGCGTTCTGCGTCTTATCAGATCGGGCTTTACTCCTTTCAAAACTTTTTAATTGCTAAGCAATTAATTTCTTTCATTACAAATCACATTGCTGCTTCATTTTTTTTTCAATTATCAACATAATTCCAACGGTTAAATGACATCAGACAAATATTTTATTAAAACAAGTAATCAATTATCCACGATATGAAGAGTATACTCACATAATAAAAAAGCTATTCACACCCTCGTATCAAATACAAGGAAATAGAGAGATAAAGCATATCGCGATCGTATAGATTTATCAAACATTAAAGGATTAAAGATAGACATATTTTAAAATTTTCCTTAGCGTTTCAATAGTGCGTGCGTGTCTCGAAATGTAAGCGCGACCAACAAGCGGATGACAATCGTGATGAAAAGTGTGCTCCTTTCACGCGATCGTGGATCCGCTAGTTTCATTGGCCGGGGAAATCGCCAAGGGGTAAATGTATGTTAAATCATATATTCGCTAGCCACGCTCAATGTGCCTTCGTACAAGACTTTGATGAAATATGCACTTTGCGCATCCCCTTATAAAGAGGGCTCTTTAATATTCGTGACAATATAAACACGTGGCTAACGATTAAAAAAAAAAAGTAGTAAGCGATCTATAAATACATTACGAGGCGTAAGCTCTGATACGAACAACATTGCAACGAACGACAGTGGAAAGCGAAACCAAGAGAAAACAAATAGTTTCTAGAATTTTTTTGCGCGATTTCTTTGGACAAAAGTCAATGCGATATCATGTACAATCCGAGAACGATACGAGATTAAACGTTCGGTGCAATACAAGCATCATAATAGAATTGAATGTTACACGGTATCTTGCAAATCCTTTCGCGCCGACAATACTAAAAGTAAAAGTTTGGGAAAATCACTTTAACTAAAAAAAGCTTTTATTCGCGGAGCCATATATGTGACGTCTTGTTAACATTATAAAATTGTTTTCAAGCAAATCCTTTTTTTTGTTGTCACCATTATTTATCGCGTTGCAGCACAAAGGTTTCAATCGTGACTGCACCTATGCCATCGATATCGTGAAGACTTCTATAGTAATATTCTACAAGATGGTACCGACATTAAAGGGGTTTCAATAATGATGCCATATACTAGACTCATATAGAGGTTTCGGTTATGGCGCCGTATGTGACGTTATTGGTATTCTAGTACGCTTCAATCACAACACCATGTTGGCAGAAACGCGACATCTCGTATCGTTAGGCTTACACGCGTTTTTCTTTCTATTCAATAAAGAAACGGCGGGACTGTTGTTAGAAATAAAAATGGAAAATAGGAGCTAGAGCTCTAAGCGCGCTCGGCAGTGTATTCACAATCGCAATAACTGTACTCATAACTTAAAGATACGACTACGTGGAATCTCTGGAAAATGGCCTGGAACCGTTTCGTCGCGGTCGCCCAAACTTTACCACGACGCAAACTCCGCAACGTAGCTTGTAGCATGAAACCGGCATAAGCAAGGTCGATTACATTTACGACGCAGAATGTCCGTCTAAACCTGTCCATTTGCAAAGTTCCGCGAATCGAGCACAAGTATCAGCAAGTACAAGCAGTTGGAAATTCTACAAGATTAACATGAGATTATATGACTGCCAGGAATTAATTTCTTGAATCCTGATTAACGATGTTGAAAATTTCATTAATCAATACCGTGATTAGATAAGACCAATATATCTGAGATTGTATCAAAATATCGTAAACATATTTTATTGTATTGAAAACTTCTTGCTGGGGCCTAATATTTCCTTCTTTTATATCAGGAAAATTTTCGCAACCCAGTCGAGGCCACTTTGCCAGAGTCCAGCTACGAAATAAAAGGAAAGTGTACTTCATGCATAAGCCGTGGTACCATTAGCAGATCATCATTGGAGTCGCGCATCCGCTTCTTGCCGAGCTCGATGCTCGCCATACCGGCGCTCTGAAGTCCTCCGGGCATCGCAGCTGCCGGCACTCCTGATACTCCGCCAGCCAACGTACTCATTCCCGTCACGTTCGTCGGCATCGTCGCCGTCTGCGTTTTTTCGTATCGTTTCGTTCCGCATTTATTATTATATATTTTTTTTTATTTTCATTTTCACACGTTCGTTCGGTTTTTCCGATTTCACTTTTTTTTTTTTTTTTTAAACATTTTTATGCGTGTACACAGATTTCAGGTTTTTTTTTTTTACAGCCGCATACACAGTTTTCCGTATGTCGCCGTGCGTCGATCACATCCGTTTCCGTTTCGGCATTCCCGAGACATTTCCCAATCAAGACGTTTTTCGTTTTTCATGTGTTAGCATATTTATACATATTTTGTTGTGTGTGTATCGTTGCGGCGATCGTAGCGATGGGTGGCATATACATTTTTTCGTACATTTTTGGCACATGCGTATGGTGGCATCGGTCGATCGTGCGTATTATTTACGTTGGTTTTTTTTATTATTTGCGTTGATATAGTTTTTTTTTTTTTCCGAGTTTCAGCAATATTTCGCAGGCGTTAATTGGCAGGTAGCGAAGCGCACGAAGGTATTGTCAGCAAGCATGTAGAAGCATCGTCAGGCGGAAGAGGGCAAGATAAAAATCAAAAAAAGAAAAACAGACCAGTTGAGGCTAAGGCAAGAAACGACAGTCGCGATAATATTCTTTTCGACTTATGTAAAAAAAAAAGAAAAAGAAACGAAAGAACACATACTCTTACGCGTGCGTATATGTGTGTATACGTGTGTGCGTATGCGTGTAGATACATGTCCGCGTACAAGTGTAACACGCTTGTGAGTTACAGTTGTTACACGTTGACCCGGCATATCGCGCTTATCAAGCTATTCTTTCTCTCTTGTCCTTCGTGAGTTGAAGCGTGTGCGCGCGCACACACACACACACACACACACACGCACACACGTGCCACACGCATATACGCGCACGGGATTTACAATATTTTCGCGTGAGCTCGTGCGATCGCGCGTAAGACGATACGTCCGCCAATACGTTATATCCACTGCAAATAAATATACACCGCTCGGGTTACTCGCACGTGTATCACTGAATTACGTAACCGCTCCGATTTATCGCGTCATTCGATCACTTATCGTACTACTATCATTCTCTTCTTTGTCATTTTAATTTTCTATACTTGTCTTTTTAATGCAAAACACATTCGAACGAATTTCAAAAAGTAGCTAAGAATAAAAGTATAAATTAGATGCAGATTCTTATGCGTGACCCAGATATCTTTATACGTTTCGAGTAACTTCTGCGAGTAGAACACGAACGACTTGAATCCGACGCGCGATCGCAACCTTCTTCGTCCGATAAACACGGCTATAAAAAACGATCATTTTCATATAAACATTTATATTATTCACAAAACTTTAAAGAGATACTTTTCTTCATAAATCGTTGTGATATCCATTTCACTACATAACCACGCTTTTCAAATCACAACACGATGGACTTTCAGTTATCGGTAAGTTCGAGACTTGCTTAATACATGCGTATTCTAGGTAAATAACGCATTCTTTTTTTTACTCTTTTTCCGCGTTTATCGGCCTTCCACCGCGTTGCTCTTTTAAAATGTATGTAGCAACGCAATGAGACTCGTAGAAGGCAAATTTCTACGAGACAAACGCGAGTATAAACATCACCGATTAATAGTAATAGCAATAATAATATAATAATGCTACTGATAATAATAATAATAATGATAATCAATAATAATAATAATAATAATAATAGCACGTTAGATAGGACCAACGGACGTAGCTGGCGTCAGCGTCAATCTGCGGGCTAATTGGCACTAATTCGTTATTTAATCGACATTAAGGAGAGAAACAGACAGAGAAGTGACATATCTATTTGGCCGAGCACATTATCTATATAGTGACTAAAAGAAAAGCGCAAATTTTAATAATACTGAAAAATCAGAGTCGAACATAGAGCGTAGGGAAGCACGTAGATAAAGGGACGCGTAGGACGAAAGAGAACCGGTCCCACTTCATCGTCCATCGACATCGGGCTCTCTCGGCTGGCGTTTCTGACTGCTGCAACACCTGCAATAATCGAGGCACTCTCTCGAAGTTGATTAGTTTTGCATCTCTGCCTCTCATAATCTATATTTGCGTGTGGACATTCATGTACAAGATACAGATATATATATACACACACACACACATATGTGATATATGACTCTTTGGCTTCTCGCTCCACTTTTCTCTCCCGCTTTGCGTCAGCGTCCATTCGCTCTTCCCTTTCGGCGCCTTCCTTGCGAAATGGAGAAGGCGATCGAGAGAGAGAGAAAGAGAAAGAGAGAGAAAGAAAGAGATAAAATTATCATATATAAATAGTAAGGAAGTGGAAAAAGTTACAGAGAAATGCGTGCAAGAGACTATGAATGAAGCAAAAGAGGGGGTCATTTTTTTAGGACCCGTACTTCTCGTCTTTCTATCTTTACACAATACCTGAAAAATTTATGAAAAAGACATTGATTTAGTTTATCAATTAATTTACACCATCTTCTCGCGAACTTGGAAGTGTACGGTGTTCTCTTGTTCAAGTCTTCTTGTTCAAGAACTCGCTGTTGTCGTCGGCATCTTCTTTAAGGAACAGGATAACGGTGTATTGTAATCGTATTTCTGGTATATGTCTGTATAATGTGTTTATATGTGTATGTATGACAGTGTGCATGCGCGTGTATATATTTACATGTGCGATAATGATTTTGTTCTGTACAGATCAAGAATGTGCGAGCTTGTGCAGCTCGCACGTGTCGTATGCGGTTACAGTGATAGATCTGCACTCTTACGTGCTTGGGAACTTCGTGTCGTACACTTGGTAAACATTCAGGTATGGCATACCAATTCCGAAGAGTGCATCACGTCGCAACGATACGGTTCAGCCTGGCCCTCGTTGGCAACGTTATCAGTATAGACAATGCACATCGAGGTTGATTACAGAATTTACTTGAAATGTATCATAAAGCATTATTAAAATATTGTATTTCATATCAAAAGAATTTCAGAGCTATCAAACGTATAAACAATTTGTACCACTCGTAATAACGAATAATTTTTTATTATATGAGCTTTTCTATGCTAACATAATTTATTATTGAGATAACGATAATTATTGAATTCTAGCAAACAAAAGTAATCTACAGCTACTATACACATAATACTATTGTTCCTTTTTAAATTTTAGAATTATTAATTTCATAAATCTTTAACCTTTCGGAGCTGACGGTATACCATAAAAGCTAGTCAATTACAAATCTTTGTCAAAAAGTTCAAAGAATTAAATTTTTTTCATACTACAATTTAATACTAAATTTGGATCAATGTTATTAAATTATACATAATTCATTCCTTTTTGTCATTTTGTTTCCTTAAAATTAATTAACGCTTTTTAATTAAAAACATGTATATTAAATAGGTCTCACAATGTAGTGTGGGTCGGTAACTTTTATATATTTTTACAATAAGCCATTCCCTAAACATTAAATCTTAAATCATAAAAAATTAACCAAATCACAGTCGATTATTTTTCTCACCATTCAACTGTAATTGCTCAATTTCTTACGGCGTAAGACTTAAAAACTTAAATAATGACTTATAAAAATCTCATATTTTGACGTCAGCTCCGATAGATTAAAATCATATAGAATATGTAGAAACTTTATCGAAATTTAAAAACTAGAAACAAAACCTGCAGTTTAAATTTTCTCACGAGACGTCGAACCATCGATGGGCCATCTGAAAAAGGGAATAAAGTTGAGAGAACTGGTAAAACAAACATTCCCCCCCGTATCGTGGTCGTGTTTCGTTTTCTAAAAGATTCACGTCGGTCCGTAACCCCTGAGGCAAATTCGGACGGAGGTGATTCCGTCGGTACGCGGTATGCACCCTTGGGAAATTGAAAACCACTTTTAGAGAATGAGACTTCCCTGCCAACAAGCTGGTCTGCCGCAATCATCCATGTGAGACTTTCCTTCCATTGTGTCCGGGTGTGGCTGCAGGTCTTCCGCGCGACGTCGCTGAAAGTCTTTCTCGCTCTTTCTCTCTCTCTTTTACTCCAGCTTTTATTTATCTCTAACCATTACTTTTCGGACTGTTTATCCCCCGGATAATGAACACGATCGTGTCCCGGAGACAAGTTCGCGGATCAAAAACACGATGATTGAGTCTGCAGGAAACGGGGTATGTCTACCCCGCGCTGTTTACAAATACTACGTAATGACTTCAAGACGGCCGTCGTCCAGTTACACTTTTGCACTAAACACGTTTGCAAATAATCTTGATCCAACCGATTGTTCGTTCGTTAATCGGAGTTGAACTCGTTAATTAAATCGTTAACCTCCGATTCAATTCTCAAAGATACGAATAATTCTCTTTTTAATTGAAATAATAAACGACAACAAAAGAGACGTATTTTTAGGTCAAAATCGGTTGAAGGACAACGACGGAGGAACGATCTCTTAATTTAGATCCTGCTTAATTGAACGAATCGTGAAAGAGCGAGTACGTCGCTAACAGTTCCTCATGTCATTCCGTGACTGCGAAAATTACACAATCTTCTCGTGCTCGACGCTAACGTTATCGCGATCGCACACGATTGCGACAATTAAGAGACAGATTTGACAACGGAAGTGGACAAAAATGTTTTATCGCCTGGCCCACACACCTCCCAACAAACCCGTCGTATTTGTTCGTTCCTTCTACTGGTTTTTTTTTTTCGTTGTTTCTATGTATCTTTCGGGGACTCTTAGTGTAGCGTTTTTGTGTGGGGCAGCAAAAACAGCAGCGGGGTTGATAGCCGGGTTTCGTGCAGCACAGCTTGTCAGCAGGGTGGTGTACGTGTCATTCGTAAGAGATATCTTTTCTCAACTACATCTTATTTACAAGAACGTGACCATGTTCCATTTCCATTTTCTCGTTTTTTCTTCACTTCAGTCGAAACCGAATCCAAAAATTCCACGATTAACAATGCAAATATAAATAATACATGATTCGTATATGAACGTTGCATAAATATTAATAAATTCATTAAACATTGTATAACAAGACCTTTGACATAAATTATATAATTTTATATAATCATTTTGTATTTATGATACATGATCATTTAGTTAAATTGGCCAATTTGAAATGCTATGACGTATTAATGTATATGTGTTAAGTTCAACAGGTAAGGTACCAATGTACCAATAATACAAAAACAAATATTTAATAGTATTTTTTTATATCGAAAGGAAATGGAACGTGCACACAGCTGTAAAAGTATTTGTAATTATTATGACCTAAGTACCGAACAGGTGATTGGTGTATTGCAACTAGTTCTTTGCACCTGGATAGCTGCGATAGGCTGCTAGAAAGAGAGAAATAGAACAGTGGTGTTTTGGTGATGTTAACAAGAATTTTGCCTCGTGTACTACTCACTACACACTACAGAAACGGCTGAACATCATACAGGAGATGTGAAATATGGACGAACACAAAAGCGACAAACATGGGACGAGAACTATACGTTTGTTGGGAGAAAATCAAGTAGTAATAAAAGAAAGTAATTACATATTGTAAGAAGATCGGGAAACAATCGGAAAAATTCAGAGATAAGGGAAGAGATGTGAAAATAAACATCTGTATGGTAGTTATATAGGAGACGATATAACGCTCCATTTTTTTTTCATTAAACTAAAATGTAAACTAATTAATTAAATACATAAAGAAAGAATGTATTATTATGGATTATATATAAGTAAAAAAAATTGTTTTATACAACATCATATATATATTATCATTTTAGTACCGTGACATTTAGTTAGGTTTAATTAACAACTCACAGGTGTAATATTTGCATGATGACAGATGTTATTAAATGATAAAGGTTTATCGTACTCCTAGCACAACTATCATATAATTCTAACTGCGCAACAATTGGCCAATACTATTGTTTTATCTTAATCTGCTTTCGCGCGTGATGACATCGTGTGTATAAATATATTTATGATATAGGTTGGCATTATGTAAAACTCGATACGTGTTCAATAGCGTGTGAAGCACGTAAAGGGACTCTTACTATCAAGAAGACCGACGATGTACATACTCGACGTAGATTGGCGAAAAGCAGCGCAGCAACGAAAAGCTTCTTTTGACACAAAACTAGGAAACTGAAAGGAAGGGTGATGATAAACATGAAAGAAAAGAGAGAGACAAAGAAAGAGAGAAATTGTGAGACCAAGAGTAAGAGAAAAGGAACTACGCTTTTAGGGATAAAGGAGAAACGAGATAGGAAGAAAACAAGGATTGAAAAGGAAGAGGAAACAATGTGCGGTCGAGGGGAACATGCGTGCACTTCGAGTCTTTTGTTCTTCGCAAGCGACATCCTCAGCCTGCACAAAAGACTTTCCTGAGAGTGTCGCGAGAAGCGTATCGATATTCTCCTCTATCCGTTCGATTTCTCAAAACTTTTGAATTTTCGTCCGTTCAGCCGTATTTTTGATAGAAAAAAGTACAGTGGGACTATTATATAATCGTAATCAAGTGATATATAGGAGATAGAAAGAAAGTAGAGATTAACAATATGAGAGTGTAAATGAAGCTATCCCGGTAAAAATATAACATATGTATTTTTCTTAGACACTTATTCAATTATACTATCTAGTATTACTGTATTCTTATTGTAACTAAAGTACTGCGTAGGAAATAGACAAAAACATGATAGAAATCTATTCAGTAGCTGAAACATTTTCCTGATAAAAATAAAATGCAAGTTACGTAAATACTTGTTCAGTTTTTGTCTAGCAATTTTATATTAATATTGTAGATTATTATTAGTTAAAATGGCCTAACCTATTCTGTTTTTGTTATTTTATTTGTTATTATTATTGTTATTGTTCCGTAAATGAATTTAAATTTTGCAGATCTTTTGTGTACAATAGTTGCGGGCAAAGCGTTACACGTGTTTAAATTACGATTCAAATAGTTTTACTTCTCAGTTATTATAAACAGAATTAATGACTGTTCAGTAACTGTTCAAAAAAATGCATGAAATTTTTACCAGGGTAAAGTGATTAGAAATTATGTACAAATAAAAAAAGTAAAAGAAAAAAGTAGAGCAATTTTTTCCAAGCTTGTTAGGCAAAAGCGCGATGAATTTTCCTTTTTTTTTATGATTTCCAATTATTTTTTAAAGTGCGGAATACTTGTGATTGCGAATTCATCTCAATGAAATATGAAAGATAAATTTAATGTAATGTAATATTTTATACAAACATTTAACCAATTGCAAATAACGAAACAATAAGAATTATGAGGTATAAAATATATTTAAATTCATTCATTTCTCTCTGATAATCAATATAGTTATGTATCTTTAGGTACGATATACTGAATTGATGTGTAACGTTACATTTATATCATGTTTTATATACATAATATAATATATATTTATATTCTTTAAAAAATAAATAGAATACTCCCCATTACATCATTTTGAGTTATAAAGTATCCACACTTTACGGTAAAGAATTGATAAATAACTTTTTGTAATGATAGAAATATTAGAAATGCATTGCAACAACAGTGAAACCGTGATACACATCTCCGTCACTTTTCTTTCACGCAAGCGACATCAACACCACTGTACTTTATTATCGCAGCCCAACAGTGAAAAGGATAGAGCATCGGGCATTACTTTACCCTTTTTGACATCGACCAATTTTCAGCGGAGAGATAATTAAAAAAAAAAGTGAAAAAAGAGACGACACACTTGCATGAAGCACACGCCACATGGAACGATCTGCAAGGTAGAGGCTGGAAAGAGGCAGAAAGGCAGAAAAAGAAGAAAGTAGAAAGGAAAAAAGATTATTAGTGTTCACGGTTGACCCATTAACATAAAGAATTTTTATGTTTAATCTTGTAACAGAACTACACTGAGAAAAAAATTTTCATAAAAACGGCTTTTTTCATACATACTATATTTTCATTTTTTTACGTCAACATATAATGTATGAATCTAAATAACGTTTCCCTGTCAACATTTTCGTAAAATAAATTCTGTCACAAAAACTAGAAGCTCTTATAAAACCATTTGTATTCATATAGATATTTTGTTTAATGGGACAATCGTTGACACAGAATATAGTGTCGGTGTTTTGACGCCAGAAACCATGCAACACCATAAAATATTTTCCTGAATTACATTAAATTGATATCTTGTTTTTATTTGTTATGATATATTCAACAATAAAATAAAGTTCTGTCGCAATTCACCGACAATTAAGATGGAGATATAAAAATAGAACGGACAGTTTGGGATGCGTGAGAAAGAAAAAACAACAAGGAAATCCTCTGTGTCGCCTAAAGAGGATCTGAGAGGCAAATATGGATTTCGTTAAGAGGAAAATGCCGGACGAGATACTCAAAATTGTCATCAGATTAGGAGAAATATTTGGAGAGGACAGAACAAAAGCGCAAACAAAAATGAGAGAGATAAACAAGAATCGGGAACAATAAAAAAGAAATAGTCGTGAGAATTAATGTATTAAGAAAAAGAAAGAAAATGTGAGAAATGAAAGTAGTAAAGAAAAAGGTAGAAAAAGAGAAGAGAAGAGGAGAGAGAGAGAGAGAGAGAGAGAGAGAGAGAGAG